GGAAGGAAGGGGGGTTTTCCCAAAGCCATTGCCCTGGGTGGTGCACTCGGTGGTGCAGACATGGGCACACATGGCACAGGTGGGCTGGCTGCCTCTTCTTGCACAAATGATGCTCTATAGCCTGCTCCTCACCACGATGTCCAATCCACTGCACAGGGACAGGCTGGCCCTGCAACGAGCTAGGGAATCAGGTACTGCGTGTCCGGCCAGCACCACCTTTCCATATCCCCAGACAATGCCAGCCACGCTATCTTTTCCCTATCTGCATCTCCCACGCCAGACATTCAGTGAGTGTGGTAGAGCCCTGCGGCTGCCTGTGGTGAGGCCTGCGTGTGCTGCCCTCCCCTCTTTCTGCCCCGTGCCCAGGCCAGGTGTCGGCTCAAGGGATGGGCAGGAGAAATCAGGATGCGCCCCGGTGCCTGCACGTGGTGGCTGGAGGGGCCAGAGGGCTGCAGCTCATGATGAGCGTGCTGCCAGGTGAGGGACCCTCCCTGGGCACCGGCCAGGCCTGCCAGCCCCCTGCAGCTCCAGCGGGTAAGCTCAGCAAAGATGACTCATTGCGATGCAGTGAGGGAAAGGGGCCAAGAGAAGCGAGAAGGAGGGACACGGCAGCTGGACAGGGAGCTGAGACTGCTGAAGGACAGCACCAAGTCTCCAGGGGCTGGGCTGAGCCTGCCCAGCCACAGGGTGGGAGGGGTTTGGGGTGGCAGAGGTCACTCTCCGGGTCCCTGGCCTGGTGCCCATGTCTCTCCAAGCTGCCTCCTGCTCTGGGCGGGTAAGGGTCCCACAGATGTGCTGTCAAAACCTGGGGGCTGCTGACAGCTCAATCCAGCTGAGAGGAATCAATTAAAGGTTTGCAGCTCAGCCAAGCAGCCGCATGGCGAATCCAGCCGCAGACATGCGGAATGGAGGGAGAGGGTGGGGGAGCAGCAAGGCAGATGCCGAGGCTGAAGGGCATACCGAGCATCCTGCAGTCAGTCCTTCAGGCAGGGGATGTGGGGCCAGATCCAAGAGGAGGAGGTGAATTACCACCTATTTGGGACCCCAGGCTGGCAGAGGGGAGAGCAGACCCTCAGTTTGCTCCCTCTGAGCCTGGCTAAGCATTCAGGGAAGAGCCAGGAACTGCCTGCACTGCAGCCAGCGGGATTTTTCTTTTTAGCATTTTTTGGGTGTTTCAAATGATGTTCTAGGAGGAAATACCAAAACCATTTGCTCACTCTGAAGCTGTGAAAAATCTCTATATCTGCAACCCCCAAACCTGGCCAGGAAGAAAAACTCCCTTCTCTTTGGTCTTGACAACCAAATGGGGGCAAAGGCATGATGGAAGAGACTACCTGAGTCTCCTCTGGCTTCCTAGAAACTGGCCCCTGTCCCTTGCTTTGTCATTTCCCAGCTCCCACCCACTCCTCTTTGAATGTCCTGGAACACTATCTAGGTCACAGCCAGGCTCTCCTTCAGAAAATCAGTGCAAATAAGCTCCCAGAGAGGGGGCTTCCTCCCACCAACATGCAAAAGCATTCAGATCTTCTAGGCTCCGGCTTCAAGAGCCCTCGGGTGCCTCGTACCCCTCCCCTTCTCCTGACAGCAGTGCCGGCAGCAGAGCTAGCCAGGTGGCTAGTGTGACCCCAGGGGCTCCGCGCAGGGACAGGACTCACGACGCCGGTAGCACTTCGCAGAGCAGAGCTGTCGGCGCAGTCTCTGCCACCTACTCGGGGCCACGCCACGGTGGCACCTCTGTGCCCACCACCGGGACGAGCTAAGGGTGACAAACGGCCCGTGGGAATGGTGGAGGCGGGGGCGGCGGGGAAGAAGAGAGCCAGACTGATGGGCTGAGAGGAACCGCGACCCCCAGGACCCTG